ATCTCACATGATTATGTACTGTCCAATTTAACAATATCCTTTCGAGTCCAGTGCCTCCTTTGTAGTAAGAAAAATATGTTAAATAGAATATTTTTTTGAATATTTTCATATTGAGTACTAGGTACTGAAGCTCTCAAACCAATTGTGTGAATAGATTTAGAAGCAGAACATAGACGCAGGTTTATATACCAAATTACTTACGAATATATTAAAACAATCAACAAGAATTTCGGAATACACTTCGAGATTCCCATTGCAGTAATAATCTTTCATCAAATCACGGTGGGTTCCTTTGGTGAGACAACAACGGCATAGGCCGTAAGTTGTAGAACTTTTATTAGATTCCATATCATAAAATATTAGTATTAAACTAAAGTATTTATTTATTTTAGGAAGAAGTTATAAAATACGCGAAGACACGAATATGAACCCAACAACAACATAAACAAACAAACACGCTCACGTCAGTATAACAGTGACAGCCCACTCAGCCCAGGGTTCATTCTAATCTACACCCCGGGTGCAACTTATGTATGACACATTTTATCATATTAGTCCAGCCACTCACTTTAGGGAAAAAGGGGTCAATCTCGGAATTTGACCTAATAAGCTGGGTTGGGCTGGGGATCTAATAACTCGTGTACTTCATTTTGGCGTTCTAAAAGTTGTCTCAAAAGCCTCGTAAGTAAGGTATTCGAGGTCAAAGGTCACGTAAATGGGCGTTTTGCAATTATCTCCGTTTCTATGGTTCCAATCACTTCAACACCTATTATGAAAGGGGCCGTTCGTCAAGCACTATAAGGGGGCAGGGGGGTCTTTGCTTTGCTTATTTTTGATGACATGGGGGGGAGATAGTGATTACGTCAGCATCATGGATTCGGGTGCCATGGACTGAAGACTGTTAATTGGAATTAATATGTATACCAAAAATTCGAAAGAAGTTTGTTTTGTTCGTAATAGTACTTAATAACATTATAATATCTGTACCTTACTCTATGTTAAATACTGTGTCAATTAAGTTTTTTAAAATGAATATTATGTACATTAAAGTCCTCTATCCTAAGCCTATTCAAGTATTGCTGCTCATGAAGCTCACGAAAGCTCATGAATCAATAAAAAAAACACGAATACATAAAAGGAGAAACGCATATAGGTACCAATGTTTACGTAAGCATGGGGGGGGGGGGGCGTAAGAGCTTTGCTTACTTTTGCTGACAAGGGGGAGGAGGGGGTAAATAATTGTAATAAATCTGCTTACGTAATACTTGAACGGCCTCAAAATTAAAGATAAAAATATTTGCCACAACTTTTGTCTTGACTTTTTTTTTCTTTACCCATTTATTCACTTGAAACAATTAAATGCTAGATGTTTAAATGTAAAGGCGAATGCACGCATAGCGGAGGGTGCGGTTCTATGAAGCCTCGTCTGGTGCCTGGACCGTATGAAATTTTGTCCAGTTTTTAATTTACTTTAGAGCTGTGCAATGGACCCGATTCTAGCCTTATTTTCTAACCTTAAATTCATATTAACAACCGTATATCTTTGTCATGCTCTGTACAATATGAAAGGATAGACTTCTTGCTTTAGTTTAAAGATTACAGAATTAAGCCTGATATATATGAGGTTTTGAGCCGCCACGCCGCGCCTTTCCGCTAAGGAAACAAATGAAAATGGAAGACACTTTAACCCAAAAGTCACACACACTACAGATTGAACGGAAGAAAGCTATCGGTGGGCGTAATAAGAACAAAAGAGAGTAAAGGCGTGTCCGCTTCGCCTTTTCTTGAACAGAACATTGTTCGAAAACAAATAAGAGGTTTGGCCTAAATGTTTTGTCGAGCAAATACGCTTGAACGTGTTTGCCGGAGTTTGTAGAAAATATCACCCGCGTTCGTCTGTGGGGGATCCTTCATTTTATGTTGATTTTGGCGTAGAAAAACGTGTTTTGAGGTAACGACTATCATGATGGAGTGCATCGTGGAGTGAAATCCAGAGGCAATATTGGAATTATTCATATTGATACATGAAAGAGCCGTAATTTGGGATGCAACTGCAAATGAAAATAAACAAAAATGTCATTCTTTCGCGGAAGTGGCGGAGGTTATGTGAACTCTGTGAGCACAAAATGGCTTAACCACAAATCACAGTTCCATCGAGAAAAAAAAAGAGAACTAAATCAATTACAACCAAAACAATGTTCAGGTCTTCCTCGTAGCTGCTTATTTTTTTAAACTTTGTTTACTGAACAAAAAAATCGCAACGGACGGGAATTGTTTTGAACAACCAATGTATGTTCTACCTTAGGAGTAAATCTATGATTCTTATGATATTGTTTGTAACGTCAAGTCCGAGTGAAAATTTACACCTTGGGTGTAAATACGGAACGTAGCACAATATGACGTTTATAGTGTTGTACTACGAAATGCGAATTAAAAAATCGATTTATTCGTTTTTTTTACAAATTGCGTTTGGTTCGCTACTTATATTAGTATTTTATCAAGTCCATGAAAACCACGGAAAAATATGGTCAAAACGTGGTGATAGGTGAAAATGAAGATGTTTTATTAAAACAGTTTTTCACAGAATTAATTTAATAAAATCACATATCACTAAAATTAAATGTATATAATTCGATTCAAATAAGAATAGGAAAGCCAATGGCCTCTATCTGTCAAATGTCGCTTGAAAAGTACGGTTTGCAAAAAAAAAACTTGGAACCCTTTTTTAGCACTCCCCTAATTCAAGAATAAAAACCAAACATTTGTAAACGAACAATAACAAATATTGATAATTAATATTTTTTTTCACTTATTGAGCTTTAGCCATGAATGGTTGATAACCCAAATCGTCAACCAAATGATTTCAAACTTTCGTTTACATAAAGGATGCATGTTAGTATGTGACCTAGTAATAATGCACGATTATTCATAGTTCATAGTTTTTTTCTCTCAGTCTTAATAAATAAATATTATTAAAAATCGGTGGTTTTTTTCTCAATCTTAGTAAATAAATACACACATCAAAAGTGTCTAGGGATCAACATATATTTTTGCAATAACTTTTCTCCTGATTGATATTAATTAAAATTTTCTTTAAGGATTCATCAAATAAAGTGTTTTCGTTTGTCACAGTAACGATAAACCAAGTCACCTTTGCATTAATAAAGAAATTTGCCAATTTCCTAATAAAGGGATTTTTGACATTTGAACCACTAACACAAAAGTTCGAAAAAAAGACTGAAATAACAGTTTTCTCTAAAATTTTATTGGGTAACTTAAACAATTAATAATCCGTATTTCTACCGCGAACACTAACAACACAAGAACATCGGTTTGGCATACTCAAAATGAGTTCATCCAAATCACGCTGTGGAATGGCCGCCCATGTTCGTTGCAACAACAAAAAAAGGTCTTCTTGCGACTGGATACCCTCCATATTCGGCAGAGCTCTTCTCTGTAGCATATCCCATGCATGCTCAATCGGGTTCAAGTCTGGCGACTGAGCAGGCCAGGGCAGGACATTGATGTTAGCTGCGGCGAGAGTCTGTCTTACAACTCTTGCGGTGTGCGGTCGTGCATTATCATGCATTAACTGAAATAAGGGACCGATTTGCACTTGTAGAGGAACGATGACGTCTGATACAATCGTCTCAGCATAAATTTGAGCGTTGAGGTTGCCTCTGATCCAAATCAACTCAGTTCTTCCGCCGATCCAAATACCCGCCCATACCATGATGGTTCCACCACTATAAGGATGGACTTCCTGGCAGGATTTTAATCGCTGTTGGCGTCCAGGGGTTCTCCAGTGTCGTATACGTCTTGTATCCGGTCTCATACCAAAACGAGACTCATCAGAAAAGCACACGAAACGCCATTGTTCTTCTGCCCAATTTCTGTGTTCAAGAGCCCATTGATATCGAATCCTACGATTGTGCATTGCTATAGGTGGTACCCGTAGCGGTCTTCGGGAATGAAGGTTCACTTCATGCAAGCGGTTTCTGACTGTTTGGTCGCTAATTAAGTTCCCTGAAGAGTGATGAAGTCTCACGGCTAACATCATGGCGGTTATTGTTGGAGCTCTTCGAGTTAAGATTTGAATGTATCGGTCTTGTCTCCGTGTGGTGCAGCGATACCGTCCTCCATGGCGCTCAGCCACGGTACCAGTGCTTCGGTATCGTGTCCAAAGTCGACTGATAACACTCTGACTTGTATTCAGAGCTAAAGCCACAGTACGTTGCCGGGAACCAGCTTCTATCATTCCCACGGCTCTGAGCATTTCTTCCCTGCTTAAATGACGTCGCCGCTCCATAATAACGTTGGTTTTAATCAGTAGTAGGGAAACAGTAGCACTAATAATGTCTTCAATGCGTTGTATGTTTTTATAGGGAAAATATTGACAGCTGATTTTCATCTTTTACTCGAATTTGATTCACAGTTCCTGATTCAAATTATGAAATGCACCAAAAAGGATCCATATAAATTTATAAAATCATAAATTTATTACAAAGCCACATCTCAATCTCAAGAAATCCGCATAAAAATGCTTGATCCCTAGACACTTTTGATGTGTGTATTATTAAAAAAATCTGAAGCTTTTTCTCACTTAATCTTAGTTAATAAGTTTTATTAAATAAAAACTTTTTTTGCTCACTGTACCTATTTGGTTTGAATTTACAGCTATGACATCACAATGGCGCCCAGTCGGTCCTATTCTTAGTTGAATCGAACTTTAAGTATCTTTTAAATGACAAGCGTAGCCGATTCTTGGTCCATAAGTAAATAAAACATTTTACATTTGGACGAATAATCTCACGACAGGCTTTTAAATTTCTTGAACTTGAACAAATTAAAAATTCACCAAAAGGGCAAAGGAGAGGACTATTGCTCATAGATGAAGGATATGATATGCCTAGGAATTTCATGATCCGCCAAATTATTTGATTTATTACAGATTATGGAATTTGATTAATAGAAAACAAAGATTAACAAATAAAGTTTTTATTCTCCTATTAGTTCATAATAAAATTTATTATTGCACTTTAAATAACAACAGTAGATCTTCATTTGTTTAGTGAATATTATAAAAACAGATACGAAAGAAGGCATAAAATGAGAAAAAAAGGTAAGTAAAATCATATTTCCAGAATGTTTCTCTGCAAAATCACATCAATTCATGCTTTTTGTGATGGCTCCTAATATGACTCTTCAAACTACAATTTTGTATAAACGCATTACCGCATACAGGACAAACATATCTCCTGTCGTTCGTATGAATTCTCATATGTTCCTTCAAAGTTTTCTCTCTAGCATAAGACTTTTTGCATATGGAGCACTCGTATATCCTTTCCCCATTATGCTTCACCATATGGTGCCTTAACTCAACTTTTGTGAAACAACGGTATGGACACAATTCACAATAGACATCCTTCTGTTGTATATGAGTCCTCATATGTGTTGATAGGGAATATCTTCTATCAAAACACTTGTCGCACACATTACACTTGTATTCAATAGGAGCTACACCATGCACTAAAACCATATGTTTATGTCGTCTAAAATATTCGTTAAACCGTTCCGGACACCGATTACACTTATACTTTTTCACGTTCTCATGCACTGTCTCTTGATGTATTCTCCTCTTCTGTTGTGTAGTGAACTGTTTGTGGCAAACTTCACACTCGTACTTCTCCTGTTTGTTCGAATGCATATGGTAACCATGTATCCTCAATCTCTGCTTCGTCACAAACCCAGAGTCGCATTCCTCGCAAACATAATTCCTGTAATGCGTATTCATATGCCGTTCTATAGATCCAAATGTTTCGTAGAGATTCCCGCAAATCTGGCACTGGAAATTGTTTTCGCAAACTCTGAAAGGTATCACTCGATCGGACAATTCTAAATACATTGTCTTCTCGTGTACGCTTGTCAAATGAGTTTTCAGTTCCTTCAAAGTAGCCATAGGTTTTTCACAAATCGTGCATTTTAACCCGGCTACATCTACGTAGACGACTAAGCTGTCAGGTTTTCCGATTCTGTACTTCTTTAAGACGCATTGTGTCATGTTTTCTTTGGTGTGACTTGTTGATTGGTGATGCCTTAATTCTTCGAAGTCTTCAAACAGTTTCTCGCAGTAAAAGCACGGGTACGCCCTTTGGTGTTTCGCTTTGAAAGCCGTAACGTTTGAGAATTCTAACAGAGCTGCAATGTTAGCAGCGTGACTCAAACGCTCTAATGTATACGGGTTTTTCTCTGTCTCTATATCAACGTGTTTCTCGCGATATTTGGTTCGCTGAATTCTTTTCTTTTTAGGTGCGTTTAGTTCAGATTGAGATTTGCTTATGGTAATACACTTTTTAAGTCTCGTCTTTGGCTTCAAATCTCCATCGTCTAGTAAAGATTTCAATGTTTTCCCTGGAATCACTTTACCTGTAAACAATTTTTGGGTAAGTTCAATCTGATAGAAGTAATTCTGTATATATAGATGACTTTTTTATTATACGTCTCGGAAAAGCATTTGATTATTTTAATCTAGAATAGGGTATTTGACAAGTTTTAGAAAACGATCTTACATTATTGACTAATGTTTATGGAGTCTGTAAAAAGTGAATATTCATCATTCTGTTGTGTATTTCAGTAAAAATAACCAAATCAAAAACTCCATTTTCAAGTTGCCGCGATAACGTTTTTCATGGACGTCACACGACTGTTATTAAAACTCAAACGATACAATGTAATGACACTTTAACCGGACTTTTACTTGCGTGTGACGTCATTTTAGGCTTCGCCAATCCCAAGCGTTTTGGGTCACGTGAAAATAGATAAGGAAACTATTATCTTTTTCGTGAGTTTTTAGTAAAATTATGATTTTTTTTTGTTGTAAAAAAATAGTAAAAACCCCTGCCAATATTCATTCTAAACACAGATGCTAACAATTGGCACTTTTTTTTAATACTGTCAAATACCCTATTGATGAATTGAGAAATTTTACTAATAGTGTGACTTAGCTTTTATTTAATTCGACATAATGTCACTGACTTAAGTAAGCCTACGGTCTGCGGTGGGGAGATCTATTTACTGCACTGATATTTTCGTCTCCTATTCATGTGTTCCCAAGAAAAATAATTTATTTGAATTTTTAACTAAATATAAGGCTTTGAGTTCGATGGCGCAGGTGGATAGGTGACCAAAAATCTTCTATCTCGAGTTCCTCCGTGTTTCGGAAGATACGTTAAGCCGTTGGTCCCGGCTGCATCTGCAGTCGTTAGCACCCGCGAATCCGCACTGGGCCCGCATGGTGGATCATGGCCCATTCTCCCTATTACATCCATAGGGAAAGCCTGTGCTCCAGCAGTGGGGACATTAATAAGCTGATGATGATAATTCGGCTTTGGGCAAGACAAGGGGTACTGGCTGTAACTCATTCCGTTTACCGTCTAGATACCCGGGACAGACGGACAGTCAGACGACAGAGTGATAGCAATAGGGTTCCATTTTTACCCTTTGGGTACGGAACCCTAAAAAGTAAATAAACGATAGGTATAATTAAAAAGGATTTTTTTTTACGGTGTCATTAATTAAATACCTTCTAATTTCTTCAAATGCTTCGCAAAGTCTTGGCAGACATTTCCGAGTGATGCTCTAGTCGGTAAAGGTCGGAGTCTTCTGCCCACAAATCTTGACAATAGAGTATCCTCGCCTTCAACTAAGTCTGGACTCTTCACCACCGATGAACCTGTGCCTGGAACAATTTCAAAGATAATAAGTAACAATTCCGGGCGGGGGATGGTCAAACAAGAAACTTGCTTGATGATCACCTACTCTCAGTATCTGTCCGATACTGGGTTTGGCGAACGGGTTAGGGAGTAGCGCAAGTCGCAAGGATCCCCTAATCAAGGCCAGAGGACTATCCTTCACGAGGTTGCCGCCCGTTATTGGTCAAATACCTTCTGTAATTGACGTAACAGAAACCTCTGGCCGGACCACAAAATCCCGCATAGCCGAACCGTGGCGGCGCATAACCACACCCGGGCTCACATGGCCTAGGGGAATTAAATACCCCCTAAAACATTGTACCACACACCCTTGGGCAGGAGTCGTGTGCGTTATTTGGCATTTCCCGCCAAAGCCCAAAAACATTAAAATGAGTGCTGACAAAGAGATGACAGTACCCCAGGAGGGTATCGCGACTCGCGAGGAATCCCTCACCAAGCCTGGCTTGGTCTGTCCCGCGTATTCTGGGGGGGACAATCAGCGCTCAGGGAAGGGCACAAGCCTGGACCTGTCTGGCCTAGCTGAGGCCATAACTTCAGCCACAACAAGTAGTACAACACCTACACAAACACAGTGGACTGTGGTCGCCCATAAGCGCCCCTGCAAAGGGAAGACTGCTAATGCGGCGGCTACCCACAAACACTCAAACAAAGGCTCGCAGGGCCGAACAGAACGCAGTCGCCACAACCGGCGCGCGAGAAGGGAAGCCCTGCAGCCCAAAACCAAACAAAACACCACACAGTCGGTCACCGCAGCAGTGGAAACACAGCGCGAGCCTGTAGAAATACAGGGGGCCGACAAAACACACAACACAAACGCACAAAAACAACCACGACGGAGACCGAAACCGAGGGGTGATCGTGGTCGGCGGATCGCTGCGGAGGCTCCCACTGCTCCTGAAAAGGAGCAGCCTGCGACTGCGTGTGGATCGGGCGAGGCAGCTTCTACGAAGCGGCCACGCCTGGACGACACGCAGTCTCCAAGGGGGGATGCCAAACGCGCGAAAACCGACGCGAAGACGAAGCGGACGGTGAGCTACGCAGATGCGAGTAAATCGCATCTGAGAGTAGCGGTCACCACCGTCCCGCCGAGGGACCTCTCGGCTGAGCAGGCGGAACAGCTGAAGGAGACCATCGACGATGGGATCCTGCAGGCAGTTCTGACTCCGCAGTCTCCAGATGCGCAGGCTCCATCTTTCCGCGGGCGACCCTTCCTTTCGGACGGGGTGCTAGCGATGTGGTGTGAGGACGAAAACGCACTCAAGTGGCTGGAGCAAATGGTGAAAACCATCCCGTCACCCATACCGAACACCACATTAACGGTCATTAGGCTGTCGGATGTGAAGAAGAAACTCAGAGCTGGGCTTCTTCTCCACACCCGCATTACCGAGCCTGCCACACTGCAGAAACTCCTTTGTGCCCAGAACCCCTGGTACAAGGTCGAGTCCTGGCAGTGCTACGACATGACCGTTGATGACAAACCGGAGAGCAGTTCTAAGGAGAAGGTGGTCCACCTGATCCTTGGAATCCCCGAGGACCAAAAACAAACAATACTGGACAGGGAACGCCGTGTTGCACACATGTCTGGCAGTGGATACATCCGCTTTTTCGCGACAGACGAAGCAACAGTGGTTGACCCGACAGTAGCGACATCAAGTGCTACTACAGAGCAGGAAGGCGCTGCGATCCCGACACCGACCACCTCAGCTCCCCAACCGGGTCCGAGCGAGATGGAAGAGGAAGCAGGCCTGAGCTCTGAGGACAGCGTTAGCGACGAAGATGGCGTCCTTCGCAGTCCCTAGTAGCACCATCACCATTATGCAGACCAATCTCCAGCACAAACAGATAGCGGCGGCCACACTACGCAGGGTGCTGGAGACAAACAACACGACCGTCGCCCTGATTCAGGAACCCTGGATCAGAAATAATAGGATTTGCGGTCTGAACAACATCGGTGGTAAGTTACTTTTAAACACATCTATCGATAAACCAAGGACATGTATTTTTACACCCAAGTCTATAAAAACAACCATGCTTAACCAATTCTGTTCTAGAGACCTCACAGCTGTGACGATCCCCACAGATAACCAAACAGTCCTGGTACTAGCTTCGGTCTACATGCCGAATGAGGGGGAAATTCCTCCGAGGGAGCTGACCGAGCTGGTGCGACACTGCGAGGAGCACAAATGGGAGCTGATCGTAGCGGCTGACTGCAACGCACATCACTCACTGTGGGGAAGTAAGGACACAAACAAAAGGGGTGAGTTATTAACTGAATACTTATTCCAAACCAACCTTAACATCATGAACATTGGGACGGAGCCCACATTTGTTAGCTCTAGGTACCAAACTATCATAGATATAACACTAGCGACACACGCGGTGGCCAATCTAATCGAAGGATGGCACGTGTCAAACGAACCCTCCTTTGCAGACCACCGCAGGATATGTTTCCAATTACAATACAGACAAACAGACCCTGTTCCATATCGCAACCCCCGAAAAACAGATATAGCAAGGTACAAAGAACTGATAACTAAAACACTAAGCGAAATGCAAATACATGACGAAATTCTTGACATAAACAACATAGAAACAAACGTACAGTTCTACACTTCAGCACTTCTTAAAAGCTACGAACTGACGTGTCCTACCATCGTACCGAAAGGCCTGGGTAAAAGTTCCTGGTGGGGGCCAGAACTTGAAAGACTACGTAAGAAACTCAGGACACTTTTCAATCGAGCGAAAAATACCAGAACCAATGAGGACTGGGACAAATATAAAAAAGCACAAAAACACTACAAGAAGCGGATCAGATTCCGGAGTAGAGAAGGATGGCGCGGCTTCTGTAGTAGTGTCAATTCAACAAATCAAGCTGCCAGACTCAAGAAAGTTCTGTCCAAGGACAACTCCAACCTTCTTGGGTCTCTGAAAAGGGAAGACGGCACTTATACAAAAACAGAAGAAGAAGCCAATGCGGTGCTACTGGAAACCCACTTCCCAGGATGCCAACTGGCGCCTGGCTTTGAGTGGTTGACTGAGCACCACAATGCACCAACAACCCAGGAATGGGACCTGGCAAAAATAATAGTAACGGCGGAAAAGATAGAATGGGCTCTAAAAAGCTTTCAACCATTTAAGTCAGCAGGACTAGATGGTATATTCCCGGCGCTACTACAATGGAAACTCGACCAGGCAACCAGATACCTACAACCAATCTTTAGGGCCTGCCTGGCCTTCAAGTACATACCAAAACCATGGAGGGAGGCAAAAGTAGTCTTCTTACCGAAACCAGGCAAGGACGACTATACACAAGCCAAGTCCTTCAGACCAATAAGCCTAACCTCTTTTCTCTTGAAAACATTGGAAAGACTGGTAGACCGACACCTTAGGGATGGAGCACTAAGTAAGGCTCCGCTGCACCCTCAACAACATGCCTACAGAAAAGGCAGATCAACAGAGTCGGCACTGCATGCAGTAGTCCACAAAATAGAGTCGGCAATTACAAATAAAACCTCAACATTAGCAGCCTTCATAGACATAGAAGGTGCTTTTGACAAAACGATGCACAACAGCATTAACCACGCCCTAAGAAAACTCAAGGTGGACCAAGTCACCAGAGGTTGGATCACCGAACTGGTCGGCAAAAGGGCGGTTCAGATAGTGGGGAACGCTACCACGCGTGCGAAGGTAGTTAGAGGATGTCCCCAAGGGGGAGTCCTATCACCACTTCTCTGGAACATAGTAGTGGACAGTCTCATACGGAGTCTGAATGACAGAGGATACACTACTATTGGTTATGCGGACGACCTAACAATTCTGATAAATGGGAACGCTGAAAATGTCCTTTGCAAGGTTATGCGTTCAGCCCTTCAGATTGTGGAAAAATGGTGTGACGAACATCACTTGTCAGTAAACCCGAACAAGACAGAGCTAGTCCTTTTCACCAACAAAAGGAAGCTACCTGAACTACAGTTACCAAAACTGTTTAATACCAAACTCTCCCTATCAACACAAGTGAAATATCTGGGCGTAATCCTGGATAACAAACTGAATTGGGCGAGTCATATTGATATAAAAACAAAGAAGGCCTGCATAGCTTTTAATCAGTGTAGAAGACTAGTTGGTAAAAAGTGGGGTCTAAGTCCAAAGATCACCCTTTGGTTATACACAGCAGTCATCAGGCCCTCTATAACCTATGGTTCAGTTGTTTGGTGGCCCAGGACCCAACTGACCACAGTGAAATCCAAACTCCAAAGTCTACAACGCTTGGCGAGCGTAGCAGCAACTGGATGCATGAGAACAACTCCATCGGCTGCTTTAGAGTACCTCATGAATTTAAGACCATTGGACCTGGTCATACAAGAAGAGGCGAAAGCAGCAGCCTTGAGACTAAAATCTCTAGGATTATGGAGATTAAATACTGTAACAACACACTCCAATATTCTACAAAAGTGCACAAAGGAGATTCCACTCCTGGAGGCACCTATGGATAGAGTATTGAGTCAACACGTTTTTGATCGAAGATACAACATCCAACTTACCGCGGAAAAGGCAGATTATTCTGGCGCCGGGGAAGTTAGGATATACACGGATGGCTCCAAAACCAACAGTGGTACTGGAGCCGGTGTCTTCTCAAACGACCTGAATATAAAAATATCCACAACCTTAGGCAAACAAAGCACAATCTTCCAGGCGGAATGTATTGGCATTACCAGAGCGGCACAGGCGGTTGCAGCCAGAGACATCAGAGAGTATAACATCAAGATCATCTCTGACAGTGCATCCGTGCTTCAAGCCCTACGTAGCAACACAATAAACTCTGTCCAAGTAATGGAGTGCCACAAGGCACTTCAATCCATTGCGGTTAGCAACACGGTAACTCTGCAATGGATAAAAGGACACAGCAGCTCAATCGGAAATGACGCAGCAGACGAGTTGGCCAAGAGGGGAGCAGACACAAAAGTGTACGGTCCGGAACCTTTGCTGCCCATACCTCAGGCCCAAATTAAAACGTGGCTGCGTGAAATAACTCAAAAATCACACTTGATGGGGTGGAAAACAGGTGAAGGATGCCGGCAAACGAAAAACGCGGTTCCGGCGGTAAATAAAAGTTTTGCCCGCACCCTTACCAGACTAAATAGGGACAAACTTCGCAGGATTATAGGATCCCTGACTGGCCATTGTCCCCTAAACAAACACCTATATACAATAGGAGTAACGGACAGCCCCCTGTGCAGAGGATGCATGGAGGCGGAAGAAACGCCACAGCATGTCATCATGGAATGCAGGAGTGTGGCCGACCAACGGGCACGACTTCTCCAGTCACCAGAATCGTTTCCGGAAGCTTGCAGCAGCCTACCAAGGTTGCTTTCCTTCTGGACCGATTTAGGCTGGCTGGAGTAAACGGGAATGTTTTTGAGACACGCACAATGGTCCAATAATTAGGACTAAGTGCGGAAACCGCCCTGAAGAACTAACTAACTAACTAAAGTAACAATTCCTGCATGATTCTTTAAATCATAAATTTAACATTTTATTTTTTTATGGAGAATGACAAACATACGCTCTGTTGTCAAATTTAATTTTTGGTTTAGAGAATCTTGCGTGAATCGACACCGCTATGAATCTAAAGAACAGTGGCGGCGCTAGACCACATGTGGACGTCGGCGACATCAAGTTCGCGAGGCCTATTTTACTTCGCAGTAAAAAACCGTTAAATTAAGTGAGCCAAATTATAAAATAACGTATGAGTAAACGAGTTTTATAGTTGATAATCGAATGATGACAAAAAAATATTTACAAAAATAGAAATTTAATAACAAAAAATAGTGTTGCCAGACAGACGATTCTGAATACCCGTAAAGTACTACTCGCTTCCATCACGCACGTGTTCGAAAATAATAAAAGTCATTATCATCTGCTTAGCTTTTTCCCCGAATTGTTCGGGGTCGGCTACCTAAGCCAGGCCAGGAGAAACGAAAATAAATAGGTAACTTGTAAAATTTTTTTTTGCGAGGCCCCTCAGGCGCGAGGCCGTCGGCGGTGGCCGACGTCGCCGACGCCTAGCGCCGCCACTGCTAAAGAAAACCTTTTCCCTGCCCTATACGAACAAAAATTAGCACTTTAAAGTTCAATATTTAAAACATTGAATTTTAAACTGCAAATTTTTGTCAGTGTAGGGCGTCTACTAATGAAAAAAAATAAAATAAAATCATCTCTTGGTTACATGTATGGAAGCTAACATAAAAAAAAAATTTTCAAAGTTTTCTGGATTCCGATGGGATTCGAACTTGTACCTTTCGCAATCCGGGCGTACGTTTTCTAGTAAATCTCGCTGAAACGTTTCGTTTGAAACCTATGTGTCACATCATACAGCTGTCATTTGAATACAACTAATGTCACTTTGACGGGAAGTTTACATATTTCTCCGCCAATCCTACGCGTTTTGGGTGATCACGTGACAATAAATAAATAAATAAACTTATAAAAAGATAACTTCTTTGTATCTTTTTTGTAAAATTAATTAATATTATATACATCTTCAAAAACAGTAAAAATCACATGCCAATATTCATTATAAATACAGATGCCAACAATTGACTAATGTAGTTGACAGTATTCAACACTTTATTTTGAATACCGTCAAATAAACTTACATTACATACATTGTTAAATTTTATCCGTTGACTGTACGCTTGTTAACTTCATACCTTCAAATGTGTCGTTGCTATCTTCACTACTGTATAATAAGTGATCATCTCTTTGGCCCAACAACCACGATTCAACTTTAATATCAGTCTGCTCTTCTAACTTCACTCCATCAAACTTTTTCTTAGTTAAATCTGCAATATGCATGATAAATTTATACATTTTTAAAGTGAAACTTTAATTGTATCACCACCAAGTTTTGTGTTCATCTTTAGAATGTTGTATTCCATTTTAGATTGATATAAATAAAATTAAACCTTGACAACAAGCATCAGCGGTTCAATGGTAGAAAGCTATATTTGTTTGTTCCCAGTTGAGAAAGTTATTTTTTTTCCAAGCCCAATTAACATTAACCAACAAATTATAGGTACCTTTAATAAAATTATGTTTTAATTTATTTAAGCATTTAACTGCTAGATGTTTAAATCTAACGAAAAGTTTACTAGACAAAAATCCACGCTAACCAGACGGGACTCGAACCCGCACCCTTCGTTATCCGGGCGAATGCACTGACCGGTGTGCTACCGCCGCCTTGACGGCCGTGTCGAATTTTCTCTAGCCTTAGGCTGCAAGGCAGTGCGATCTCTTTGTATTGTAGGTAACCCACAATGTCATGTTGTTACCTTTAAAATTTTCTAACAGCTGCTTCTCAGTGTTCACAACCAGGATTTTGAAGCTACTTGCGTCTCTCAGTCTACTGATGCAATTGGAACAAATTAGTGTGGTTAAATCTGGTCTTGTTGATAACTGCAAATAGACAAAGAAATATATAGATCTATATACTAATACTATAATGGGGTCTACCTTGTATGGCAGAACTTTTATTATAGGTATTGTTTTAAACTTGCATAGTCACTAACATTATTGTAATTTATGTTATTTACGGGATATAACGACATGTTGGTTATTACAACCAATTGGCAAGATTTCGTCCGAAACACTTCAGTAAACAAACCACCTATAACAACACTGAATATAGTGAATTGCCGCTTAAAACAACTTGTAGCAAATGAATATTGAAAAAGTTTTTCATAGTAAACTTATCACTTCTTTCCTTCATGACAATTCATTATATATAACCATACTAGAGTCTGTGAGGAAAGAGAATAGGCATGGCGAAAAATGGAACTAACATTAAGATTTTTATTTGGCAATCATACCCAGCAATCTGTAAAATGTCAAAGTTTTGTATTGATACAGATTTGTTTGTTGTTGTGATTTCTTGCGGTTTTTTGTATTTAATCATGTCTAAATGGGGTAAAACCTTACAAATACGGTAGAAAAGCACTACAGCACCCTCCAATCTAAATCCCGTTCTCTTTCCGCACAGACTCTACATACATACATATCACAATAATATGACTACTTGTGTACATTGCTTATAACAACTATCAGACATAACGTCCGAAGCTATATGGTCACTTCAATGTTGTTATATTCGGTTTTGACTGTATGTACCTTGTTTTTAGCAAGTTCCCTATATTTCGGCACTGTTGCAAGCGCATTGATCACTGAGTAACTGAAGTAATTGCAAATAGCGGATGTGTGAACAGTGGTATAGGTATTGAAGGCAATAAAAGTTTACCAATAACATCCTACCCGCAATTACTTCAGTTATTCTGTTACCATGGCACTTGCAATAGTGCAGAATTATCGGAGACTTGCTAAAAAACAAGGTACATGGTAGCAAACTGTTAACAACATAAATTACAATATTCAATAATAGTTATACTCTTACTAGTAAGTAATTTAAAAAAAAGTTTTTCAAAGGTAGCTCATTAATAGTAATTAAAATCATACTCTTGAGCCTGTAAAGGACCAGAAACATAAGAGATATGTATAAAAGTCAGGATAGGCAGAGCTGTGGCACAGGGACACAAGAGTTACAAAAATAACAAAATTTAGATAGGCCACCAACCAGGCCCTGGTAAAAGTATATAAAAACGCATCTAAAACACATAACAACAATGTTTTATTTTATTAAAAAATTTAATATCATTATTGCCACATCTCAATCAGCGTTTTTTTGTACTCAACAAAAGCTAAGATGATCGGAACAGAGTTGGAAAGAACCAATTGGATATTTTTACAAAATAATATTCTTCTTTAACTTTCTTTCTTAATTTAATGTAATAATTCGTGACTACCACGAATACTAAAGTTCAGATAATCTTATCCATCAAACGTGTCTAATGATGAAAGTAAATTAATTGATAAAAATTGCATACTCACGCATAAATTAAAGCATTCCGCTAAAATATCGGAATAAACTTCGCGTATACTTTCCCAGCAATATTCCTTATTTAAATCTCTATGATTGCCTTTGCTGGAGCAACAACGACATTGGCCGTATTTAGTACCTGATGCTGTAGCAGCCATTATAAAATATTCTCTACAAATAAATGTTTTTATTAAAAGTACATTTTAAACACAAACAAACCTAGGGCAATAATAAACTCAGTTTTTAAAGATTTTTAAGTAAGGCAAAGGGAACAATGCTCTTACATCCTTGTCTTAAGTTACGATAATCTTCTTTTCTTTTTACATTAGTGTTAAATAAAAGACGTGCGCTCGGTGCAATGGTTTATTGCGAGACTGTTTGCTGCCTACGACACACACACATACATGACACCTCCACCCTTATTTTACTAATAACTTAATAACTAAAGAAGATCTTACTTACTAAAGTACATTGTATATCCTTACTATAAGTACCACGACATGTTACGACAATAATACAAGTTTAAGTATATACCTATACACATGTTACTAATTAAACCAAAAGTAATATTAAGAACTTAATCTATTTCTTCAAAACCATAGCGACCCGGTGGCTTACGGATTCTTAAAGGTCTACTACGATCAGGGCTACCCTGGTTCTCTCCACTCACATTATCTATGGCTTTGACTACCGACACACTTGGTTGATACGAGGGGCTGCTCACGAAAGCATCATCACCTGGCGCTACCACTGCCGCTGCCCCCGATGTTGCTATTGGACTTAACGTCTCCGCAATAGACTTATTATTGATATTATCTGCACTCAGTTCTGGTTCCTCACCACTGGTCATAGGAATTGCCATTGATTTCCGAGATTGTTTATTAAGTTCTAACTTGGACTTAACTATATCAAGGTTGACACTTCTACCATTCATACTACTACCTACTTTACTTGTAAATCTTTGTTTCAATTGGTCGATGTGTCTGTGGATTTGGTAATCGCTATTCCCTATTTGTCTTATGACTGTACCCTCTAACCACTTATCTGAGCCTCTATAGTCACGATACCAGACCTGCGCCCCCTGCACGAATTGCCGCTGTGCACCGCCCGCGTTCTGCTCGCTTCGCGCTTGCCGTACCCCCACTCGACGCTCCCTATCCGGTTTTATGTTGTCTAACCTCATACGTAAACTTCGACCCTGTAATATACGAGCTGGACTGTCTCCCGTAGTAGGATGCTCTGTGTTCCTATAGGCTAACAGAAACCTATTCAATGCTACTTCTACATCTTGGTTTTGTATAAAAGCCTTTTTAATCACACGCTTAATAATTTTAACAGCGTTTTCTGCGGCTCCGTTCGAAGCCGGGTGATAAGGGGCAGAAAAAATATGTTCTATACCATTATGGGTAAGGAAATTTTTAAATTCTGAACTCGAAAATGGTGGACCGTTGTCACTGACCGTTTGTTTAGGAAGTCCGAATTTAGACCACAAATTCCGTAGTACTGAGATTACTGCCTGCGCTGTTGTCTTTTTCATTTGTATCGCTTCGATCCATTTAGAACACGAATCTATTATCACTAAATACGTTAACCCACCTATTGGCCCTAAAAAATCCATATGAAGTCGAGACCAAGGCCTTGACGGCCAGGGCCACGAGTGTGGTGCTTGTGCAGGTGGTGCGTCGGCGACGGCTGCACACACAGCACACGCACGGCATTCCGCCTCAACCGCTTCATCAATACCCGGCCACCACACGTAACTACGGGCTAAAGCCTTTGTTTTTACTATACCCATATGTGGATCATGAAGTTCCGCAATTACTTTTTTTCTGTATGAAAAGGGTATTACTACGCGATGACCCCATAAAATACATCCTAATTCACAGTATAATTCGTTTTTCCTGCTAAAATAAGGTTTTAGTTCCTTGATATCGATATCTGAAGGCCAACCATCGACTATATAACTTAAAACGCGACTTAATATCGGATCGCCCTGGGTTCCCTTCCTAAGAACATTATAATCTAACAACAATGCTTCTGAGGAAAAATGTAAATAGGTTTGTTCTGGTAAGTCAGCTTCTGCTGAAACGAACTCATTTTTTTGGGACTCAATTAAACGTGAAAGGACATCGGCCGTATTTTTGTCCGTTCGTATATATTCGATAGTAAAATCGTATGCCGCCAGCTTAATAGCCCAGCGTTGCAACCGACTAGCTGCCGCCGTAGGTATCCCAATGTTAGGTCCGAAAATGCTTACAAGGGGTTTGTGATCCGTCCGAAGGACAAATTTTCTACCATATAAGTATTTATGAAATTTATCGACAGCGAAGACAATCGCCAGTGCCTCTTTATGTATCTGGCTGTAGTGTAACTCGTGAGAGGTGAGCGCGCGCGAGGCGTAGGCGATAACCCGCTCCTCGGGCGCGCTCCCCAGCGCAGCTGGCTCCCGCTGCGCCAGCACCGCGCCAATGCCGCGCGCGCTCGCGTCCACTGTCAACACCGTTTCGCACTTCATGTCGAAATGTGCTAACGCACTGGTGCTACAAAGAAACCCTTTAATACGTGTAAAGGCTGTATTTTGTTCTGTTCCCCATTTCCAATGTCTGCCCTTTTTTAAAAGATCGTAAAGGGGCGATAAGTACATACTCAAATTTTTTATAAATTTCCCGTAAAAATTGACCATCCCTATAAAAGATTTTAACTCAGTTACGTTATTGGGGTGAGGCATATTGGTGATTGCTTTCACTTTTTCCGGGTCTACACGCACTCCATTTTTATTGATAATAAATCCTAGATATCGAACTTCTTCTGCTAAAAATTCGCATTTGTTTTTTTTTATTTTTAAGCCATTTTTCTCTAAAATATCAAACACCTCTTTAATTGTTTTTAAATGGCTACCTAAATCCTTATTTTTTATCAAAATATCATCATAGAATACTAATACGTTATTCACGTTTTTAAATAGATTAACCATAATTTTTTGAAAAATTCCCGGACTCGACGAGAGTCCATACACTAAGCGACAATATTTGAATAACCCTCTGTGTGTGTTTATGACCGTATATTTCCTAGAATGCTCAGATAAAACGATCTGATTGTAAGCTTGGGAAAGATCAAGTTTGGTAAAAAATAAGTTTCCACTGAGATTACTGAATAGATCTTCCATTTTTGGAACCGGAAATCGATCAACATCTAAAACTTGATTAATTGTTACCTTGTAATCTGCACACAATCTCAAGTTACCATCGCTTTTGCGTACTACGACCAGTGGTGTGGCCCAGTCCGAGTGGTCGACCGGTTCGATGACGCCGGCGCGCAGCATGGCATCCAGCTCGGCGTCGACGCGCTCGCGCAGCGCATACGGCAGCGGCCGCGCCCGGCAGAATATGGGCTCGGCACCCTCACGCACGCACAGCTCTGCTGTGCCCCCCGCGTATCTTCCCAAGGTGTCGTCAAACAGGGACTTATGCCTAGAAATAATGTCATTTATTATATGTTTACCGTCCAGCTCCTTTTCGGCTAGGAAATGGTTTGATAAGTTAGGCTTAGGTATTTTAACAGGTATTTTTAATTCTGCTAACCACTGTCGTCCCAGTAAGTTAGTGGTTCCCTTATTTAAAACATACAAATCTAATCTTTTTATTACATTATTGTAACTAACTAACGTTTCTATGAACCCTAGTGGCCGGACAGCTGATCCATCGTAAAATTTTAATTGTAAACAACAAGGTTTCAACTCTAAATCGCTATATAATTTATTATAAACATTCTTACTAATGCAAGATAAGGCCGACCCTGTATCGACTTCCATATTTAACAAATGATTTTGAACCATAATGGTAATACACACCGGCTTATAATTGTTTAGCGACAATTGATGTATAGACTCGCTGATGTCTTCTTCTGTCTCGTTCGCACTTCCGTTATCGACTATACCGTCCCGCTCGCTCCACATGTGCATCCGTGTCCGATCGTCCCAGCGTCTCGCACCGCGCCGTCCGCGCCCCGCGCTTCGCCCTCTGCTGCCCGCACCGCGACTGGTCACGCGCCCGCCACGTGACGATGATTTCGCCTCACGGTCATGACTACCGCCATATTCTGACCATCTCGATCGATTCCTTTGATTGTTTTCCATCCTCTTGGTAATATTTTTTTGACACATTCTCCTTAGGTGACCGATCTCCCGACACCAACTGCACACGAAATCTTTATATGGACAATCAGCTGCTTGGTGTCTAAAGTCTCCGCACTTATCACACTCGCCGAGCCCGAACCTATTAACGCCTTCGGTACCATTTCGATCCACCGCACTCGCATCCCGCTCAGCAGCTTCCAAAGACAAGGCTAAGGTTACGGCCCGATTGTAAAGTAAATTTTCTTCGGCAAATAGTCTCTGTCTTATTATCTCGCTTTTTAAGCCACATACTAGTTGATCCCGCAAATTTTCGTCTAGATTTGAAGTAAATTCACAATTTTTTGATAGCTTTTTCAACTCCGTTACGTAGTCTGCTATAGTTTCGTTGTGCAGTTGTCGACGTTGACGAAACTTATATCTCTCCGCTAATACCGAAGGTTTAGGTTGTAGGCGGAAAGTAATTCTACCGCTCTGTTATATGATAAATTTGATGGTTTTAACGGGCTTGCTAAAGAGGATAACAGTTCGTAAGCGTCTTCCCCCATTACCGCAATTAATGTAGGTAGCTTGTGTTCGTCCGACACTTTATTCACTATGAAAAACATTTCCATTCTTTCTACATAATTCGTCCAATTTCCCGATTTCGTATCGAATTCACGCACTTGACCAACCGACATTTTGATAATTCAATAATTAAATCACTGATTTTATTCCTCGTTCGCCACTGTTAAATAAAAGACGTGCGCTCGGTGCAATGGTTTATTGCGAGACTGTTTGCTGCCTACGACACACACACATACATGACAATTAGAATGTCGGTGTGACGCATTCTAATGTTTCTTGGAGTGTTTGGCACGAAATTTATCGAGTTGGCTTTTTCGATAAGCTTCTGTGAGGTAGTAAACACTACAATAAAGTTCAAAAGCATAATGGTCAGTGCATTCGCCCGGATAGCGAAGGATGCGGGTTCGAGTCCCGTCTGCTGCCCTGGTCCGCGTGGAATTTTTTGTAGCATTATATTCAAAACAATATATCTATAAAACCGTAAGTAATATAAGCGTTTTAGTTATCCAGAAATAATATATGTACTAACCTGAAGGTACAGATTAAGCTTTTTGCGCCGTATGTCTTGTTCCTAAATTACTTACTTACTTACTGCTGCGGCGCAACGATCCAAAGTGGATCTTGGCCTCCGACACAAGGTGACGCCATGCTTTGCGATCCCAGGCCAGGTCCCGCCAGCCGTCGGCACCCAAAGACTGCAAGTCCCTCTGCACCTCGTCGCTCCAGCGGTATCTGGGACGTCCAACGGGCCGTCGTACTATCGGTCGCCCCATATACGCACTTTTCATAGCTCGATCCTCTCCCATTCTCTCTACATGCCCGAAGTTTAGCTGCTTTAATTTCTCCTATGTTCTATGTTGTGCTCGGACACTAGATTTTCCAGCTCGATGTTCGTCCGCACTCTCCATCTCTTTGAGTCGGCCCCAGGATCTTCCGCAGAATCCTTCTTTCGGCGACCAGCAACTTATTCTCCGCTCTAAGGGTTAGCGTCCAAGCCTCGCAACCATATATCAAGCTGTAATCACTGTGTTGTAGATCCGAATCTTGGTCTTTCTTGGTAATAGCTTGGAAACCAAGACCTTGTAAAGAGCAGCTGTGCACCTGAGTGCGTCTTGGATACGGGTGTCGATCTCCTCTTCTCTTCTGTTGGTGT